GGCTCCCCACAAAACCTTTGCCAGTGCCCAGAACATAGTGAAGTCCAGGCCTAGCGTGTTCACCGTTCCCATGTCTGATGCTGACTCTCTGATACAGCAGTGCTACTTTCGGATCGCTTTTTGAAAACCACTGTCGTGTATTTTCAAGCAAGAGATGCATTCTCTCCAAGAATCAGGTCACTACCAATGCAACCATACCTGGCTCCCCACAAAACCTTTGCCAGTGCCCAGAACATAGTGAAGTCCAGGCCTAGCGTGTTCACCGTTCCCATGTCTGATGCTGACTCTCTGATACAGCAGTGCTACTTTCGGATCGCTTTTTGAAAACCACTGTCGTGTATTTTCAAGCAAGAGATGCATTCTCTCCAAGAATCAGGTCACTACCAATGCAACCATACCTGGGAAAAGAGAGACCGCACCTGCAGGCACTTTCCGTGAAGCTGAAGGCTTTGTGGGAGGCTCTGAAATGATGGAAAATACAAGACAAGCCAATGACTTAGAGATGCAAACGTTTTGTACAATTAATGCCTTACACAGTGCCGTGTAAGAAACACGACCACTATACTGCGTGCCCTCGTTTTTGTTCAGAAGCCCAAATGACTTCCTTTCAACATGCTTTAGACACATCTGAATTTCCGGGGCTGTTTTCAATAACACAAAGTGAGTCTAGATGTTTCTTCCATGTTGCAAAACATGCCCATGAAACTAAAAAGCCACGAATAAAAAGGTGAGCTACAAGCGCTCGTCTCCACAAGCTGTACATCATTTAAAAAGCCATTCTGTGCCCCCCAAATCAGTGGCAATTACTCGGGGGCCTAAGGTACATTTGAAAATGTAACCGTTGGGGTGTGTCTAGACTACAGGGCTTTGTCGACAGAAGTGGACTTTTGTCAACACTATACCTGCATCTACACTACCGCCAAGTTCCATCGACATAACGGTGACAGAACTCGGCAGTTTTGTCGACGGCGGTAAACCTCATTCTACGAGGAATAGCGCCTTTCGTCGACAGAGTTGTGTCACCAAAAGGCATTCTTGCATCTACACTGTCCTTTGCGTCTACACTCTCATGTCGACAAAGCGGCTTGCTTTGTCGACAGAACTGGCTGTAGTCTAGACACTCTTAGTCGACAGAAGCTTTAACTTCTGTCGACAAAAGCCTGTAGCCTAGATGTACCCTAAGAGTGCTCTGCTGCAGGGGGCAGCCACTCATTGAGGGTGCTGAGTGTCGAGATGCAATGTCAGGCTGCTCATTTGGGTGCTTAAATATGAATTTAGACACCTGAATTTAGCCATAAACACTTCTGAACAGCATCTGGACACACAGAACTGGACACAACACTCCAGTTGAGGCCTAATTGGCGCATAGTAGAGCAGAAGAAACTTCTCATGTCTCGCTAACTCCTGTTAATGGAGCCCCGATTTAGGTTTGCTTTTTTTGCAACAGCGTCACACTGTTGACTCCTATTTAGCTTGTGGTTCACTATGACCCCTAGATCCTTTTTTGCAGTACCCTTCCTAGACAGTCACATCCCACTGTGCATGTGTGCAACTGATTGTTCCGTCCTACGCGGAACACTTTGCATTTGTCCTTATTCAGCTTCATCCTATTGACCTCAGAACCATTTCTCCTACTTGTCCAGATCCCTTTGAATTATGACCCCATCCTCCAAAGCACTTGCCACCCCTCCCAGCTTGGTATCATCTGCAAACTTTAGAAGCATTCTCATCCTTTCAGAGAGACGATTACCAACCACAGAGAACCCAGATACCTACAGTGCAACAGATGTGTGCTCCTTGTAGAAATCAGTTCTTACCATCATTTATTGGGACTCTCAGCTCTTTGTCTTTCACATTTTCCCTTCTCGGTGCTTCAGCAAAAAGATCGCCCTAGTTGAAGATAAAGACGCACATCAGAAGAGCGGGAGAACTTTATCAACTGACCGCAAGGACACAGACTTGCAGCAACAGCCAATGGAGCAATAGAAATGCACAAATTTCAATGGTCCCATTTTTGTCCTGGTTGAGGAAAGTTCTTCCCCTTTGCTTCGTTTCATGCTCTAAGGATTTAGCCACCCAAACTTGCATCAATTTAGATAAGCCAGTGCGAACTTTTATGGACACATATTTTGGTGTAAGAGTAGCTTTGTTCAGTTTTAAAATAAACCTGGTCCCAATCAGTTAACACTAACCCAAAGAGCCACTCCGATACCCAGCTAAGAATCCCCTGGGTTTGCAATGGTTTTAACAGTCGAACCTCAAGAGTTACAAACAACCTTCATTCCCCAAGTGTTTGTAACTTACCACCGCATTAGGGTTGTTCTTGCAAAAATTTAGAACTGAGCTTTGACTTCACACAGCTATGAAACTTTACACTGCAGAAGAAAAACGCTGCATTTAGGCCAGGTCTATACTTATAACACTGGAGACTGATCTTCTGGGCTGTGTCTACATTGGCACCCTTTTCCAGAAATGCTTAAAACAGAACAGTTTTCCGTTATAAGTATTTCCGGAAAAAGAGCGTCTACATTGGCAGGATGCTTTTCCGGAAAAGCACTTTTTGCGGAAAAGCGTCCGTGGCCAATGTAGACGCGCTTTTCCGGAAAAAAGCCCCGATCGTCATTTTTGCAATTGGGGCTTTTTTGCGGAAAAGACTACTGGGCTGTCTACACTGGCCCTTTTCTGGAATAGTTTTTCCGGAAAAGGACTTTTGCCCAAACGGGAGCAGCATAGTTTTTCCAGAAAAGCACTGACAATTTTACAGTAGATCGTCATTGCTTTTCCGGAAAAGCAAGCGGCCAGTGTATACAGCTGGCAAGTTATTCCGGAAAAGCGGCTGCTTTTCCAGAATAAGTGGCCCAGTGTAGACACTGCCCTGGTGTTTGATTTAGTGAGTCTAATAAGGACCCGCTCAACAGAACGCTGAAGATGCCCCCGATCGACACCAGTACTCCGATTCGCAAGGAGTAAGGGAAGTCGACAGTAGCAGTTGCTCCCTTCGATGTCCCACTGTGGAGATAGTGCCATGCTTGGCTGAATGTACATCGATTCCAGCTACTGTAGCTGGAGTGGAGTGTCCTAAGCCGACTTTCCAGGGTAGTATAGCTCTTGCCTTCTTCATTTAAATGAAACAAGCACAGGAACGGTTTTGTCCTCAGGGAACCTCTGAATCCGTGGGTGTGTTCATGTCATGCTTCTATCTTTCATCTCATCCATCATGGCTGGTAACTCAACAGCCAGCTTGAGGAGCTGTGTGGGTGCAGCCACAAAAGCTAGTACGTTGCTGCTCTAAGTCAGTCAGCTGACTGAAGCTCGTAACACACAAGCAGTATTGTTTCTTGTTTACCTCCGACTCTTACATATTAGATTCTTTTCACAATACTGGCATTTTTCTGCCTAGAACTAAGTGCTATTTTTCCCCACACACACAAATGTACACATTAAGTTTTCTTGAAGAGCAGGTAACTTGTGATTGTACAAGTCCTGGGTAACTGGAACAAGGGGAACCAAAAGAGTCTATGAGGGGTCAGGAACAGTGTTCTGTAAGCTGTGCGCTCGTACAGCCACTCGGGAGAAATTAAAATGCCATCCAGGTGATCAGCAGAGCGCCCACAACTCGAGTTACCGGAGGATCCACACTCCAGCGATCAATCTTCCAGGGTTCGATTTAGCGGGTCTAATAAAGACTCTAACCCACCAATAACTAACCTCCTCGTCGTCGTCAAAGAGTCCCATTCCGCCGCTGAAAAGGCCACCCTTCGAACCGAACGGCGAGAAGTCCTCATCCGTCAGCTTGGGAGGTTTGAAGATGTCGTCCTCGTCATCTAGAAACACAGAACACGCACACTGAAAGACAGCTGCTTTCCTGTCCCTCTGCATTCTCAGATAGAGCATCACGGAGAAGGAGGCAAACAACCAACACAAGCGCCATGATCACAACCCTGTTTGATTTTACAGAGGTACCCGTGCAGGGAACAATCAGCCGGCTGGAGCTAGAGAAGTTCTTATTCCATGCTTACCAACCGAGCACAAGAGCAGTAACAAACGGACCACTCCAAAGGAGGTCACAAGAGAGCAAGGAACTTCCTCTAGACCCAGTTTTACTCTTGCGTGATGCAGACATGAACATGGGCTAGGTCATGCAAAGCAAACAGCGCTAATGGATACACAGCAGAAGTGGGAATTATGGAATCTCTTTTGCTTTGGAAACAAACGTCAGTAGCAGCGGAGAAAGCCCTACCATCTGATGGAACTCTAACGTCCTTTGCTTTCACAGTCTTCTTTGTTTTGATTTCCGCTGATAGGGCTTGCGGAAGAAAAGATGGGAGATCATTAAACACGGTCCCGCTTTATCCCTTTGATTTTTTGCCCTGAGGCCGGTTTGCTATAAATGGATCTGAAAACAGAGCAATCGGAACAAGAGCCTGCTTGTTTGTTTTATGCTGCACAGTTTCCTGAAGCAACCCTGCAAGCTGGTTTTATGCCTGTTATTCAACTGAGTGAACAGTTTCACAGAGCCTGAGGGGAATAGAAATTGGTCCTTTTTTATTCCATTTAGAAACCTCAACTCAGGGCCCCATCATGTCAGGCACTTTACAGATTAACGATTTTAAAATTAAAAGTACGTGATGGGGATGCATGCGGAAGAGTCCTCGCTTTCATAAACAAACATCTTGCAAAATAAGCCAGAAACTGACCAGTCTAATTTGATTCTTTAAGCTGAGCAAAGTAGAAAAACAGAGCCAGTGGCCAAATTAAAGAGCAACGTGGAAGCTAAAATTTCTCCCAATATTAGCCTACGGTGGGACTAAAACCAGTAGCAAGGAAATGTTTCTCTCAGCACAAGTGATAGACAGTTTCACTTTTATATAAAAGCCTGAACATGCCAAAGCAGTAGGATAATAGTGTTTCTTTCATCTTAGAGCAG